TCGTGCATAATCACAACACTCTTGTGCCCCATGCTAGACTAAAAGCGACACCATTCGAGCTATTGGTGGAGTGGAAGTTTCGTGGCACCTTTCCAAGCCTATGGAAGGAGGATAAAGAAAAGGAATTGGATCGCATTGATCTGAAAGAGAGGGATTCGGAGGCTAAGCTCGTCAGCAAGAAGCATGCAGACATGATCAGAGGAGCGAAGGAGTCAGACATAAAAATTGGAGATGTAGTTCTTCTGCATCAACAACGAAGATCGAAAACCGACTCTTCATTTTCATCGGAACGCTATACAGTTATAGCCAGGCAGGGTGCAAAAGTTGGAGTAATGAGCAGGAACGGTATTCAGTACGCTCGAAACGTCCACGACATAAAACTGGCCCCTTGTACAGAGGAAATGGACCCGAAGGGCAGTGGGCCACACAGTGCTATCCAGAATGATTCAACACCAACTCGGTCACAGATGGGAATGACGGACATTCCAGAAGATATGGGTTCTCAGCCAATTGAGCGAAATCTTTGTTCTAGAGGGGGACTAAATAAACCGTCGAGGTTTGATAATCATTTTGTTTATCGTATTTACCAGTAAATAAATAAATCAGTTGTCGCTATTACAAAAATACATTATTATATTGAACTTTAAAAATAAAAAAAATATTGATTTCAAACAAAAGAGTACAGAAGGGGAATATTGTAGTAGGTATAGCAGTTATTAGTAAGAAAAGTAAATTCTACCAAACCGTGTAAAAGGTAAATCAAATGAGATCGGGGTAGTAATTACAAAGAAAAAAGGGTATGCGCAAATCTGTGTGTATGTAAAGAAAGCTTATAACTGCACGAAAATCGAAATGCTAATCTGAACCGGAAAACGATCGCCGAGGTTGAAAGCCAAAGTTCGGAAATCGTTTCCAGTACGAGAGTTAACCAATTCCGAATGAACGTGGGGTGAGAATGAGAGAACAGAATATGGTATAGAGTAATCGGAACGAAGGTGAAGTCTATCAAGAAGCGAATCTTTTTCGGATTAGAGAGAGATGGGCTAGAATGATGAAATTAGAATGATGGAGTGAGAAGACACCAAACCGAACTGGAGAGATTCGGAAAGGGGAAATTAACGAAGTAGCATACTCGACTTCGATTCGAGGCTAGCACAAGGATTCTGTTGGTTACATTTGGCGTTAGCAGACGTGTTTTTTGGAGCCATGGCGGGTAAACGGAAGTCGACTGGAATAATGCCCTTAGGATTGGGCGATCTTGTATCGATCTTTTTCATCCCGATTTCCGATTTTTTGGATCGATTCTTTGTCCACGAAAAGATCGAAAAAATCGATCTTTTCTTTCGATCTTTTCGATCTTAAAAAAAAAAAGTGTTATAAGCATATTTACATTGAAAAAATGATTTACTCTCACCCCAGACTGCGAGGTAAATTTAACGAACATGACGTCTACATCAACATCGTTATTAGATTTGCATTATGTCATTATTTGCATTACCGATATTTACGAACACAGCAACATTTGAAGATTTGCGCTACCTCCCTGCTGTGCTCTTTGCTCCTTGCCGTCACATTTTGTCTACACGGAGAAACAGAATGATACATTCAGGCGTAACATTTGATAATGGCACAAACGCTTTTGTAAACAAAAGTTGTAAGGCCCTTTACACGCGAACCGAAGTACGCCCACGTAACCAAAAACATCATCGGGTGGGGGAAATTTTCCCCTTTCCGATAGTTGTATTGGTTTGCGTGGGCGTAATTCGGTTCGCGTGTAAAGGGCCTTACAACTTTTGTTTACAAAAGCTTTTGTGCCGTTATCAAATGTTACGCCTGCATTAATGATCTAAGTTGAATCATTAATGTATCATTTTGTTTCTCCGTGTACTTTTTTGACAACCAAACTGAATCGACAAACACATTGACAGTGAGCAAGTTCATTTCCTCTTTGTATTCGTTTACTCGTTGCTTTGCGCGCATTTTACTCAAAAACAAATTTCAGGCAGGTCGTGTGAAAAAGTGTAAAATTTGTTTTTTTTTAAATACATTGTCCTCCGTCGTCAAAAAGACCAAACGATGGCTCCACGAAGTGACATTTGGTCGTTTTTTGTCAAAAATTCAAAATCGGGTGTCTGCAAAAAATGTGGATCAATTGTGAAGACAAGTGGGAACACCAGAAACCATTGGAACCACCTCAACAGGCACCATCCTCAGCAGCTTCTGACTGGGAAAAAAATAACCGACGATTTGGCATCAGATTCAGAAGGATCGACCCCGAAGTTTTCGACGAAAACTGTTATGAATCAAACGCAAAACCCTTTCAATGAACCTGCTGCTGGTACTAGCTATGAAAGCAGACGTGTCAATCCGAATCAAACTATCAAGGATTCGTTCACTCGGATGATGAATTTTAAAGGTAAATATGATTCTATAGTCTCCCAATTATATTATTCGTCAGTGAAACTGAGACTGAGACTATTCTTAATATGTACCTTATTTTTTAGAGCACGGAGGAATGGCCATTCAAATAAATGAAGCACTGTTATACATGATTGCCAGAGACAACCTTCCTCTACGAACAGTTGAACGAGATGGATTCATTCACTTTTGTAAAACAGCGCTTCCTCTATACAAGCTTCCGAGTAGGAAAAAAACTCACAGAGATGATTGATGCCAAGTTCGATATACTGAGTGGAGTTGTCAGAAGTGCGCTCTCAGAATCTGAACAGTGTTGTTTGACGGCAGATGTGTGGACGGACACCGGTAATAATCAAAGCTATCTAGGTGTTACTGCGCACTATCTTGAGGGAACTGAACTGAAGTCAGTTGCCCTCACGGCCCGCCCTCTCGATCATGCGCACACAAAGGATTATCTTGCAAGAATACTACGAGACGTTTGTTTCGAATGGAGTATTGACCTGCATAAGGTATAGAATTTAAATCTTAACATATTATTGTTGACAACTAAATATTGACTATAATTTTAAGGTTTTGGTTATAGTTACGGATGGTGGAGCCAACATTGTGGCAGCCGGCAAAGACGTCTTTGGAGATGTACGACATGTTATATGTGTGGACCACAGCTTGAGCCGCATCACATCTGTTGCCATAGAACAATCGCCACTCTTTGAAAGCCTTCTGACGAAAATCCATTGTCCAAATCCATTGTAACATTTTTCAAGAAATCCGTTAATGCGGCGGATGATCTTCGGGCTTTACAACTAAAAGAGCTGAGCTCGGAAGCATAAATATTAAAGCTAATTAAAGATGAACCTACTAGGTGGGGTAGTAACTACGCGATGCTGGAACGCTTCATTAAGCTTGCCGACAAAGTCAGCCTGATTCTTCTTCGATTTACCTCCGTTCATATGCTGACAGGATCAGAGCTAGCGGCAGCTGCTGAGGGGCGAGATCTACTTCAACCCGTGGCTCATACAATCACTGAACTGGAAGGTGAAACGTCTTCTCTCTCAGGGAAGGTAATCCCTATGTTAAAAAACATGAGAAAGGTAAGTTGAAAAGCTAAGAATAATTTTTAAGCAATATTTTTTAATATTTATGATTTCAGAGAATCGATTCCATGAGCCATTTGACAGAACCAGTCAAATAGTTAAAATCGATGTTCCTGGCGCAATATGAACGAAAATTCAAAGACATTGAATTTGTTGATACATTTGCCATTGCCACTTTACTGGATCCTCGCTTCAAGACGCTGTACCTTAATCCATTAGCTCACGCAAAGGCGTTAAAATACGTATCTGATATCATAAAAACTGAAAACAAAAAAGCAGGTACTACCTCACTGTCAACTTCAACGCCCTCAGTACTTGAAAATGGGTCTAATAGTTTATGGAACTATCATCATCAAATGGTATGGAATATAATCATTCTCAGATTTCTTTCATTAATTAATACATGATTATTTATTTTACTGATAGGTACAAGAATCATCTGCAAACCATGAACCCGATACCCCTGGAGGGATCTCCGGAGAACTTCGCAACTTCCTCCATCAAAAAGTTTCTACACTTGACTTAAATCTTTGGTTGTTTGGGAGTCGATCAAGAGAGAGTACCCTACAGTGTATCCGATTGCTCGAGAATACCTCAGCCGAATGGTGACATCAGTGCCATCCGAAAGGCTTTTTTCCCGAACTGGTGCTACAACTAAAAACCGTTACCGCCTAAACGCCAAACGAATGGCAAGATTGGCTTTCATGGGATCTTTATCAGCTGAGTTTTGGGCAAGTACCAGTTGTTGATTGTTTATTTGATTACGCACTTTCGTTCGATTCCATACATTTTTAATGTTTCGTATTACATTTCACTAGTTCAATACTCTTTGCAATAACAACTAGTTCAATACTCTTTGCAATAACAAAGATTTTTGCTTGAAGTTTTAATGTGTTTTGTTGGCCCATCTACAGTATTTCTCAAATACTTCTTTTGGTATACTATCAAACCTTTTGTTTAAGCCAAGAACATAAAAATAAAATATTATATTTTTGTTATATCATTGAAAACGACAACATTTAATTGAACATTATAAAGGAAAGAATTTCTTGGGGTACCAACGTAAACAAGCGTATTAAAAAAAAGCAAAAGATCGATCTACCAAAGATCGATTCTTTGGTACCGATTTGATCAGTGAATCGATTCCAGTGCCAAATATAAGATCGATCCGTCAAGATCGATCTTTTTCTGAAGATCGCCCAATCCTAAATGCCCTTGAAGCGGCACGACATGTGTGTCTGGACTTTTCTGGTTAGTTACTAAATATTCGAAAGACATCTGATTGTTCAATAAATCAAATAATGTCTCTTAGAAATTCTCCCAAGATTAGGTTGATCAGGATTTTTTTCAAAGACTTACAGAAGATCATGGACCAGTACTAGTGTCGCTGAATATTTTGATCATATATAATTTATTATCAGAGTTTCGGTAGCTTATTACTTCAAAAGTATTATATAGAATTTTCTCAAATGTTTCCTTTATTCATGGATTATAATTTGGCTATAATAGACTGATATACTGCCTGCAGGTAAATCATTAATTAAATTTTAGTTTACGTTATCAGCCTCAATGTTAATAGTTTGTAACGATGAACACTGGTAATAGTAATAGCAGTCGTGTATACCTTTCCAAAAATTATGCAAATAGTTACTCTCATTTGTTTTTCTACTTTGAAAAATATTGCTAATAGCCATGACAATATTTTTCGATTTATCACTATTGTAAGACTTCCAAGTTGAATCTGCCCATGATGGATTACTGCAAAAAAAAAATGGCACGTTATTAACTAATTAGTAAATATTCAAAACTGACTTACCCAAATTTTATAAAACTGGAAATGCTCCGAACCATCCCCCGGTGAACGTTCCATTCAGAACGATACTCCTCCGGATGCCTTAGTGCCTCTTGTACATTGTAAGGCGTGAAAATATAACCCAAATCGTCACCGTGCACCACTCCCGGCGGTGACACATTCAACCGACCTCGGTATAATACATTCTTGTACCAACCGAATTTTCCATCAAACTCAAACCGATATCGGAAGATTGGAGCCGTTCGTTCGCTGATCTGTTCTATAAAATTCTGCACAGGGAAATCCATGTTTGCATAGTTGGCTAGCTGACGGAAAAACTCCGATTGTTCCGTTACCAAGCCGGTTTCCTTTAAATGTTTTGCCATCACTTTTATTTCAGTGTCGATGTAGCTTAGCAGCGCTTCGTTATTTCTATTGGGGAAATTCAAATCCCAAGAAAAGTATCCTTTAACATAATCCAACAGTAGCTCAAACTCCGTCGATGTCGTTCCAACTAGCAGAGGGATGTCGTTGCTAATTGGTTTCTCCAGAATCAACCGATGCGGGGCATCGGTGATGAAGGTTCCATCGGCAGTCGGTATGAAGCAGGGGAACTGCATACTGGCGAAAACCGTTCCGAGAAGTCGGGTGGTGTCATTCAGAATGAAGAAGTCGCCTAGAGAACGATTCAATAACTGCTCACGTGTGGAAATACCCAACAGTCCAAAGTAATAATCAGCGTATTTCTCCGGATCATAAGAATAGGCATGTGGCATGAGAAAAGTTCCACTCGAGAGTATTGCCTGCTGGAATAAGCCCTTGGAGTGGGTCGAATACATATGATAGTTGATTGACGTGGCACCGGCACTGTGGCCCATCAAGGTGATTCGATTTGGATCCCCACCGAACTCTTGGATGTTTTTGTGGATCCACCGGAGGGCAGTGAGTTGATCCAACAGGCCGTAGTTACCTGTGATGTTGAATCTTGGATACCGAAGAAATCCCAATACATCCAAACGGTAGTTGATGCTGACGACTGCGATTTCCTAAAAGACAGGTAATTTATAGTTTGATTTCATCCCGAATTTGCTTCATGACGAACGAACATTTTCTATCAGAAGATCCACTCCATGAACATCGTAACCACCTGAACCGAAGGTAAAACTTCCTCCGTGGATAAATACCAAAACAGGATGCAAGTAGCTCCCGCCATCAATCACCATCGGACTGTATACATTGAGAAACAAACAGTCTTCGTCACCCAGAACTACCGAAGGATAGTTGATATCGTCCAACTGAGGACACACATTTCCTTGTCTTAAATAGTCCTCACGGCCGTTGGGTTCGTGAAGCGTGGGTGGCTGAAATCTGCCTTCTCCGGCTGTTGACTTCCCATATCGAACACCCCGGTATTCACAGTAGCTGATGTTCCCAAAAGTAGTCCTAGGCGTTCCTGTTCCGGAAGCTGAATCAGAATAACTGACGACACATTCGAGCGCCAACGATTGAACAGCGCAGCCGACGATGAGTGCGATTAATGTAACAAATTGCATTTTACTACTCTGACAATCGATCACTACGGCTTCGTGCAAAGATGTGAGATGGCTTTGTGATGACTGCAGTGAACCGTAAACTGAGATAGAGGAGAAGTGAAGCTGTACTGTGATTATCTATGGAGCGAGTGTAAACATGGAGAACATTTCCAGCCCATACTAATGAAGCTTCAGGGTGATAATTTATTAACTAGAGAAAGTTCTGAAGAGGTTGATAGTTCCGCTAGAATAAGGCAGTGTGAAAATTGAATACTCCTTTACCTAGCTTTTGAACCATATTTCGAGCCATAGTTTCTTCTCAACGATACCATCACTTTTTTGAAAATTCAGTTCTGATTCGCCTGAAGTGCAATCAAACTTTGTTGTGGCTGAAACTACAGGTTATTAATAGAACCCAGGATAACAAACTGTTATATGAAGAAGGAAATCCTCCTTCTTGATAACATTAAAATTTTGGCATTGATCCCACTTAAAATAAATTTTCAAAAACATCTCATTTTCACAACTTCAACCTGTTATCGTGTAAACGTACCATGATCCGCAATTAAGCGCATGCTTGTTATTATAATTTACCTTTGTTGCCGTACAAATGCCGTTCCCCACTTCCATTCACGCGAACCTAGACTCTTCCTTCAAAGCTAAAGAGCTCTAATTGGGCGTTTTTTGGCAGCCCTCCGTTGCCACCTCCGCGTTGTACGGATCTTCGAAATTCCGGGTGCTTTAATCAGCTACCATTCATCCCTCTATCTCTCGTAAATTTAATTGGGAACTATTTGCCTCAAACTGAAGTAATCCCTCAGAGCAATAAAAACGGCACTCTTGGCTGCTTTCTCCCAGCAGGTTGGGTGCTAGGGTTTCAATTTTCCCAGCATATCCCGAGAAAATCCTGGTCAATTAATTTTCTTGGTGAGCACCGGTGGCGTACATAGGTAAATCGTTTCCATCCTTTGGGCGAACTGTGCACTGTAAGATGTAGGTTAGCTTCCTGACAAGGGTAAATAAGCTGATGCCAGGTGAATCTAGAAGCGTTAACTTCAGAAATGAAAATACTGAATCGCGTTGTCTTTTTACAGCACGGAATGGATGGTAGAATTGAAATTACACCGGTGACTTAACCTTAATATTGAAATATGCTATAAAGCTTTACAATGGATTTGTACACTAATTAAAAGCTACCACTGGATCCCCACAAATCCAAATAAAATTGCACCGAATCATACTCTGATGAACGCATGCTGCAACATGTGCACTTTTGCAAAACCACTCCAGGAAATGTGGGACTAGCTACATCAAATCGAGTAGCTAATGATATTCAAATTTTGTCATCACTGTCTGTTCGTGAACGGAACAAAAAGCGGATCACGATGCTACAGGTGCACCGTTGCTGACGAAAGGAGCCCCGAGTAGGTGCATAGTCGTAAAATTTATCTCATATTAAATTTATCACGCTCGAAAAGCTTCACCATCACGGCGATCTCACTGCAGCTCCACAGTAGAGCATGTTGGTTTGCCAGCTCCAGCAGGAAGTAGTAAAGCGTTTCTGCTTCAAAGTGTAACACGTTCGTTCCCTTGAAGAGGAAACAGCTGGCTGGGGAGGAGTGGAGTTGCGTTGATTGCATCAACGAGCGAGTGCAGCTTCCCTTCCACTAGGCACTCCGGATGAATATTTCAGTAAAATTGGATCCGGTAACGCTCTCGCGTGGTAAGGAACACACTGAAGGTCAACCAAAGTGGAGGGCAATATTTTCACCATCTCAAGATCCATTCATCAGCCCGGGAACATATAGTACCTGGTGTAATTCTAGTCACTGGGGAGTGTCTCTTACGAACCCGAAAGGAATCGCACGTCGTTATCCTTTCCAAAAAGGAATCGTACTAACCCGTGTGTGAATGAGGGCACGGGGGATTCCGACATTCCAAACACAAAGTACAACTCAATTGTTACTCTTTGCTGACTGCAGAAGCAGAAGCACCGGAAGATAGAAATTCCCAAGCTGATCCCGCAGCGTCGATTTTTCATCGTGTGGGGTAACAAGTGCTCACGTTCGAACACGTACCTTCCATGTATTCGAGATATGTTTTTACGGAAACCTACCTGAATGGATGTAAGGGGAGGACGAACGAGATATGATTCACCCAATTCGGGTCAAACAAATAAAGTTTATTGGAAAGTCGGCGATAAAAGCGAACACATTTTCCGTACAGGTCCATATTTGGCTCGACTCTGGCGGTTTTCGGGGAAAGCAGTGGAAGTTCGAAGGTGCGCATCGGTCGTTATGTGAGTTCTGAAAATGGAAGTTCACAGCCATAAAATCTACTTTATTGGTGGTGACACATTGGGCGGGCGGTTGATGAGAAATTACGGTTCAATTTGATTTCTGTCGAGGATTAATGAAATGATGATGACCAACTAAGGGGAAAATAAATGAGAAATCTAAGAAATAGTATCGCACCCAAAATTTTTGATACACTACTTTGGAGCACCCCATCTCATTACAATAAGGATAATGTAGGAAAGGAGAACAATTCATCACTGGAATTAATCAAGTTTGTGACTATGTCATGACCAAACACTCCCGGGTAACTAACTCAGTAGCATGAGACCCCTGAACTGTGTCGCAGGGCCGGCATGTTACTGGGTATTCAGAAGGGCTACGCGGACAAAGTATGAATACACAGGAATATTCACATTTTCTAAAACCATTTATTTGCCCTTTTCTGTGGCGTGTGGGTGTGGGTTTTCACATATATTTGGCGTGTATGCTAGGGTTTAAAATATGCACTGTACTCACTGCTGCAGCGGGATCTCCTACGGCGTCGCGACGTTGGCGTTGGCCCACACGGCTGCTCTTGCACTACCGTGTGGCCGGAAACTTGCGACGCAGGCTGCAAACAGCATTTCGTTGCTGAATTGGGACAATGGCGGATATGGTGGCGTTCATCAGCAACATACGGCTCAGCAGGCGTCGCTGACTCGTTTGGCTGGCATGCGTCTTCCGTCGTTGACGACATCGGCTGACCGTGGCAAGGCCACCTTGGTCGAGCCGAGACGGGACCGTCCTTGGCAATCAGGCCTGAGGCCTGAGGGAATCGTCCCTGATTATTATTATTAAATTCGCACTGCACTCCACACTCAACTGATCTTCACGGACGCCTGATATAATTATAATATAATATAATTATATAATTTCTATATGGGGGTATACTTTGTGAAAACCGAAAATGGATCGTGTAACAAATTAAGAGAGATTTTGAACGTTAATAACTCAGCTGCCCCTGGTTCAATTTCAATAATTATATCACCAATCGATCAGAAATATGACTACGCATCGATAACAATGCTCTCGAATGTTGATTTTTAACAAGAAACTATTGAAAACTGGTAAATGTCCAGCATTGTCCAAAAGCGTCGAATTAACTAACAAATCCAACAATTACCTACATGCATATGCTGCTTCCCCAGCACAGTCGTCATAAAGTAATAAGTAGACGAAACAAGTCGAAGTGGCATTCGCCTCCGATCCTCGGGCGCGTGCGAATAGGGAGGATGGAATTGCGTAATATTTTGCACACTCATCGCCATATTCAGATGGTTGGGTGGACGCTCCGAACGACCACACAAAATGCTCTCCAGAGTTGTAATCTTGTAACCAAACTTGGAAACAGGGGATACACTCAAAAAATATATCACATAGGGGATTACCATTTGAAGTTCCTCCCATTTTGCATTAAAAATACATAAAAATTCCTTCCCTTTTAACATATTATGCAAGAAAATACTATTTAACAAAAATTTCTAGGAAAAAACTGAAAACGATAATTTCTTTTGACTTTGTTTGACCATAATATGCATCCAAAGCGTTCCATCCACTTTTCCAAATTTCTAACTTACTGTCAATGGAACAGCGCCATGAGAAAAAATAGCCTTGACTCAATGGTGAAAACTATTTTTGTAGTTCTTTAAAAATTATACTCAAACTCTTTTCTTAAAAGAACTTGGTGGCCCTGAAAAGGGCCGTTTTTACATCAGATCGGTCTTGATGTCCTGGGAAATTTCACGAACCAGACGCTGGAAAGGCAACTTTCGGATCAGCAGTTCGGTCGATTTCTGATAACGACGGATCTCACGCAGGGCGACGGGGCCTGGCCGGTAGCGATGAGGCTTCTTTACTCCTCCGGTGGCTGGAGCGCTTTTGCGAGCGGCCTTCGTTGCCAACTGCTTGCGAGGAGCCTTCCTCCAGTGGACTTGCGAGCGGTCTGCTTGGTACGCGCCATTTTCCTTAATACGATGTGGTTACGATGATAGCACACTGTGGAATAAAAAAATAAAAACTTATTAGTTATACTTTTTTTTAATTTTAAATGATCTTTATTTCAGTTCAACTTGGATGTGTACCATATACATTTTTTTAAGTGATTTAATTGCTTTCTTCATCTTTAGGTATGGGCAAAATTCAAAATTTGTTTTACATAATTAGTCCTAGACTTAGTAGACGCTCGACCACCTTGGTGGGATTGGTTCGTTTTGTTTTTAGAATTTGAAGAGAAACTACTTAATACTACTATTTACAGCTTAAAACTAACCTACTATGTACAAATTGCTTATTAAAGCATGTTCAGAAAGATTGCATTTTTGGATAAATTTGGTTGTCATATCCTCAATTTTGGAATCTACTTTGGGAATTTCTGCCTCTTGATGGAGGTCTGCTATTCTTGTGTCGAATGGACGATCTAGGATCATCCTCAACACTCTATTCTGTGCAACCTGGATTTTGTTCCTGTGGGTCTGAGCGCACGATTCCCACACCGGGGCGGCATAGAAGATCGCGGGGGCTATGATCAGTTTGTAGACAGCCAATATGTTTTGCCTTGAGAGGCGGGATCTGCGGCAAATGAGCGA